TGGATTAGGAGATGGGTTTGAGATTTCATGAGGCAGTTCCTTGAGCCAAGGAAAAGGCGCCCAAGGGAAACGGGTATCAGGCTCGACATAAACAAAAGTATCTGCCCACTTGGGAATGTTGGAGGGGACATTCGAGATAAGATGGGCGTTGTTGCGACTTTTCAAGTAAAGGCCTCGGGCCTGTTTGGAGGGGGCATATCAGTAATGGAAAAAAGCTAGGTTGAATCGACCTAGACGGACATGGCTTAGGATGGTGAAGGTGGTCATGATGTGGATGGCGTTAGGAGGAAGTTGGTTTAAGGGAAGCCCGAAACATTCGCAGATTTGGAGTAAGTCAGGGCTTAGAGGAAAATGGATGCCGAGGTCAAACTGGATTGTGAAGAAGATGTAGTAGTTGAAAGGGGGATGCATGTAGGTGTCGGAAGAGGAGGGACAGTAGAACGTCCAACCAGAAGGATGGCCGATCTTATCACGCTTCAGCCATCCAATTGAGGGAGAGGTAGAAGAGGGAGATTTAGAGGAGGTTTTGGTTGAAGATTTGGGCGCATCAGGCTTACAAGGAGAGGGAATGGTCGAAGATTTAGGTGCGTCAGGCTCCGAGAAAGAAGGGATGGTCGGGGATTCAGGAGGAGCAGTTTGAGAAGAAGAAGGAACGGTCGAGGATTTGGGTGCGTCAACCTTCGCGGAAGAAGGGGTAGTGGTAGCAGACTTGAAGGAAGTAAATCGAGAGGAGAGAGGGATGGTGTCAAGATTGTGCTCGTCCTCCTCTGGCACATCTTGCTAGCCAAAGGCAGGTCGACGACGGCGGAGGGGAATGTTATCCATAGTGTCCCCGGAGTTAGAAGCATAGATAGAAGTAGGAACGGTATCGCCGGGGCGTAGAATGGAGAGAGGAACAACGTCAGGGATATAAGGAACTTCCTAAACCGAGTCAGAAGAGGCAGTGATCGAGGAGGAAGAAGGTGAACTCAAGTTAGCACCAGAATGGTTGTCGTTTTCACAGGAGGTTGCGGAGTCTGAAAAAATAAAAGCAGAGGGAACAATATCAGGAAAGGAGCTCTCACGAAGAGAAAGGGGAAAAGAAGGAAGCTTTCGCGGCTAGGGTTTTTCCGAAAGGGTGATTTTGAAAAATTGAAAGGTGAAAGTACTAAAGATTGGCAGTAAATCGATGAACCTTCTGATGTTCGCAGAGACCAGAAATTTACGGAAGTATTTAAGGGAAGTTTATTTTTGGTATGAATAAGTCTTAATTTTAATTAAGTTCACAGAACTAATTATTTACGTTTTATTATGGCAGGACCTTGGGATTGAGGAGGAGATACGTATTCCATATTCTAAAGAAAAGGAGAATCGGAAAATTCACCTTCCATAATTGAAAAAGGAGAATCGCGAGAGTATCATTCTTTATATGCGTTTGCATTGGATGAGAAGATTTTTCCAAAAAGAATGCTGAAGATAAAAGGAGGACAAGACCAGAGTTGAGGGTGGCTTTCGATATCTTTTGTTTAGTTATTTTTCTTTTCTTTGGGAGTAAAAAGAGTGATACTTAGAATATTTTGTAAAAGAACGTTCGGAGGTTCATTCTTATAGTTTGAGGGATTCGAACTAAAAAATCCACAAAGGAGCTGTGGTCAGATAAGTAGTTGTGCGAATCAACATTTCTATACTGTAAACCCGTGGATGATGTATGAGTTGTTCACATTAATGAAAGAGATTTGAAGGGAGAGTGGGACGCTCTCCTGAAGATTCAATTTGTAGTGAAAAACTGCTTCCGCAATTGTTTGAATCTTCATTACAGTCTGTTTATTCAATTTACGTGCAACTCTGGGTACGTGGTGGTCAAGTATCAAATTTCGAAAGGGAAGAACATGAATTTCGAAAAACTTTGAGGGGAGGAGCAAAATTCACAACACTCAACAAGAAAATCAAGATATCCAACGCACAAATTCAGAACATTCAACAAACAAATTCAAGACAACCAACGCGAAAAATTCAGGAGCACATATATTCGAAACACAGGAAACACGAGTTCAAATGAAGAACAACTTACTCATCGTCGTAATGGGTAGAATATCGGAGAGCTGGAAAGGATGGAGGAGATCACCAAGAGCAAAAGCTAGGGTTTTGCAAAGAAATCGAAGAGCGCAAGAGAGTTCAGAAAATGCAAAGGTGAGAAAAAAAGTCCAAAAGTTCGTTAAGTACTAGTTTATACTTGGATGAATTGAAGGGTTGGAGGATGGGAACCGTTGGATTAAAGCAGAATCCCACAGTTGAGAGCATTCAATTAGCACGCGACTCAAAAGGGGCGCGTTACGTGAGGGGGTGCAATAATTAAAGCCCCTGTCAGACGCGAAAGGTACGACATGTGGCAGATGTGCAGGCGCGACAGAGAGGACCCGTGGTAGGAAACTTTATTCCTGGCGGTTTAAAGGAAAATAATTGAGAAAATAGCGGGAAACTCACCTGATGGTCGATATCTAAGGCAATATCACCCAGAAGAAGGACAAGCACAAATTCACTCTTAGATCGAGTCATTCAGACTCGACCAGAGTGGGGGGGACTAGATGATATAGGATATTATACCCACAAGGGTAAACTGGTCTGCTGAACCGATCGAGGGGGTTGCACCTTGAGGAAACTGAACCAATCTAGTGGTAATCGAGCAGTCGAGTAGTCGAGTTGACCTCAACAGATTGACCACTGTATGGTCTGTCGGTATTCTGGAAATTGACCTAGTCACAAGCTCGTGTAAGAGCCTCTAACAGAATTTCAAGGAATATTCAGAAGAATAATTTCCCATGTGCAGAGGACACGTGGCGAGAATGCATTGGTTGATAGCGATAACCACCTCTAACACCACCTCTGACATGCGCGCGGTATGTTAGAGTACGGACGGGCAGCTGGGGCAGCCAGCTCACTAAATCTGGGCAGCCTTTATGTCAGGTATCTCACCCCTATATAAGTAGGGGTTAGCCTTTCTTCCTTAACACACAATTTTCATTATTCTACTCAAACATACACGTACTTACTTAAGCATCGGAGGCTTTTCACCGGAGAACCCCCCGGTGTGAGAGTTGTTTGCAGGTTTCCGCGTTCCACCGACGAGGACGAGAGGCGATCTATTCCAAACCGGCCAGGACGCTCACACTTGCATTATGTTAAATTAATTTTTAAGGGCTCATTTTTGGTGAATTTATGTGTTTCTGGCCTTCTTTAATGTGACAAATTTTTATAGAAAATGCCCGAGTATATTTCAAAATGTTCGGTTGTGTTTGTAAAACCCTTGTCTGTCCCCTGGCCCTATTTCTCTTGCATGTGCCTTGTCTGCGCCAGTGCCATGCCCGCGTGCACTCCAGCGTGCATCCCTGCGTGCCCAACGTGCATTCGGTGTGTGCGCATGAACCCGACATCCAGTCAGCGCCCCAGCGCCTTGCTCCGCGCCCCAGCGCACCCGCCAGCGCCCTAGCGTCCGCGATACCGCGCCCCAGTGCACTAGATAAGCCTGATTGCACCCAGTAGCGCCCCGACCGAGTCCAGCAGTGCCTAGACCCCGCCAGCAAGCCAGCCTGCCCCCGTGTCGAGCTGTCCCGAGTCGTTTCTTATTTTTCCCGAACCATTTGAATCTTTTTGACTCGACCAACCTTGTTTTTCGTCCTGAGTCCATTTCTGATGTTCTTAAATGTTTTTGCTGAATCTAGTTGCTAAAACCGAGTGTAACAAAGTCCACAGAACTTCACAAACAACTTAGTTGAATCATGTTCGACTAAGTATAATTTGTGTTTCCTTCTAAAGTCAAGATAAGATGTTGATTGTATTACTCTTGACTATTCATAGGTCTCTGATGAGCCGAGCTCTCTACCTACACGTGAATATTGTGCTATCACATGCTGTTATCCAGGTGGGTTTTATTTATATTGATATGCCGTAAATTGTTTTTGTTTTGTTGAGTTGGTATGATCAATGTATGTATGTGAACCATGTAGCCTATCGACGAGAGTTGTTACGGCCATCGGTACGGTTGTCCCCATCGATGTAATACGGTGCCCTTGTGAGGCAGTCTCCCTAAGTTTCATGGTGGGCCATATCGAACTAAGTCACATGGCGTGCCTTCGATATGCATGTCAAACTAAGACACATGGCGTGCTTTCGACATGTACTCCTACTATATGGGTGACAATGTAAGACACATGACGTGCCTTGGAATAGACCAGCAGTAGTCTAATGATAGGTGTGTACATATGAGTAATGTGAATTGGTGTGTTGTGATTTAGAGATTGTGACATGTTGATTGATTTATGTTCAAGCTGTGACCATACCTTATTTACATTATATATATTGTTCTTTACGTGCATAGTGGTGAGCACCACGGGTTCCATTTGTGCTCACCCCCACTTTTCTTCCCAGGTTGAGCAGGTTGCGAGTATGACGAGGAGAGAACGAGTGGCCGGTTATATATTATTGCTTATTTTTCTTCTGCATGTTATTTGGTCTTTATGAACCTTATGTTTGGGTTTCTTAGACATGTTGAAATTGTTTTCAAACTTGGGATTTGAAATATTGGGTTTTAGATTACTTTTGAAAAACCTATGTTGGATTCGTTTCTTTTTGGAAACATGTGTTTTGGATATTCTCGTTTGTGTGTTACTTGAATATCATGATCGATTATTCATGCTGTTGTGATTGCTGAATATCATGTGAAATGCTTTGTTATCGGTTATTAAAGACCATGTGAAAACCAGGTAATGAATCTCCGTGAGGTGAGACATGACTTGATCTATGTGAATGTTGAGTAATGCCCATGGCTAAGTGATTTCGAAAACTGTACTTTGAAAATATTTTATCAATTTTTCTGAAAGTCCAGAATTTCTTCAAAATCAACGTGGGGCGTTACAAATAGAACCTCTGGAATGCTCCCGGAGAGAGAAATAGAGCCATAGGAGAAGGGCTCGGGTGGGTCGGTGTTTTGAAGATGAAGGATTTTGTCGGTCCGAAGCCGACGGATGAGGCAGGGCCGGATTGAAAGGGTCGGTCCAGGTTCGGGCCGGTCCGAGGGGACCGGGCAGAGATTGAACGTGGCTGGGTTGGGTTCGCGCCGGACTGCGGGATTTGGGTTTGGTTCGGGCTAGGCAGAGTGGGGTGGGCTTTAGGTGGAAAGGGATGAAGTGTGGACGGTCTTGGTTTTGATTTGGGCGGGCTGGGAAGGGTGAGATGAAAAAAAAAGGATCCAGTTGAATTGGAGGGAACAAATGGGCTTGAATTTAGAAGGCCCAATAGGATGGATAAGAGAAGAAATAACCGACCCAAGAAGAGGAGCCCAAGGATTAGGCACGAATGGGATTAGGGCTAGCTGAGAATGTTGCGCGGCCACTTTATGACCGGAGGTAGAAAAACCAGAGACGGTGACTGACGACAACTTTCCGGCGGGGTTGGTTCAAGTCTGGGGACGTCATTAGGTGCGGGACCACTCAGAGCGTTGGAAGTTTTCGTCGCCGGTAGGAAGAGAGGCTACTGTCCGGGGGAAATTTGTGCCGCCGGCAGGCTGAGGAGGTACTCCAAGTTGCTGGGAGGCCATTCACGAACCATGGCTTGGGTTCAATCACTTGTTGGCTCTTCTTGGCATTTTATCCAACAGTTTCTGTGCATTCTTTTTTTTTTTTTTTTTT